CTGGATACGAGTTGGTTTATTTTGTAGTTAGTCTTCATCAAGATTCACTCCACTATCCATACATCTATGGATGCATCCGGTAGACGACAGTTAGACTAACAAGCAGAGGCCGTCTGCCAGGAGCATTTGCCTCGTTTAATTTCTGTAGAGCCGACCTCGAAGAAAGAGCATTCACTTAAGTAGTAGTTAGGTGGAACAGGCGTGCAGGGCACGCGTAGTAGGACTATTAGCAATTATGCCCGATTCCGACTCTGGTCCTCTTGACGAGGAGCATCCTTCGAGTGAAGTACACCGACTTCGTCTCAAATGAGACAGCCTGCACTCGCTGTGGCAAAATCATAAGGATATCCCAGGCCATTCAGGAAAGACGGCTGAGGTGGTTTGGACACCTTCTTCGTCGCAAACCTCAGGAGCTTAGTGTTACTGCCCTTGACTTGAAACCGTTGCCTCTTTGACAATCGATTGGTGTACGCGCGGGGGGAGGAATAAGAGTGTCAACTCTAACGTTTCCTCAGTATAGGACATCTGACGCGTTGGAACCTATCACGGTGCGCTCAAAGCGCACTTTTGGGGCTGCCAACTGGCAGATTAACCCGGTCCTCCCCTCAAAAGGAAGGGTCCAGGCTGCAATGGCTCCTTCTTAGTGTGGCCTTTGTGTCACCCCCACTCAGTTGGAATCCGAGCCGCCTCCCTCCCGTTTTGTTGTGTAACACCCCGATTTCTTGTGCGTAAGTCAGGGATTCTGGTGGCACGTCTAGATGCGCTCGATGCCGCCTCCGGTCTTTTTGACTCTCTTTATACCGGGTCCAGGTGGGTGAGGAGGAGTAGCGAGTGTGATAGATGCTTCGCAAGTACACTACCATTGTAAACTAGGTCACGTGCTAGCCACCGTCCCCGTGCCCGCCCTGCTGTGGGGCTCACGGTGCATATTGTCAGTGGCAACAGCCACACTGTTAGGCAAACACTCTGACAGTTTTTACCGGTCGTCTACTGGAATCGCAGTACAGCTTGCTAGCCCAAAATATTAATGCAACTACTCTCAAAACTCGGAATTTCCCATTCCACTCAGTCCTAATGTTTTACTTCATATAGGCCAGCGCTGTAGGCGTCAGCACGCCATGATAATTAATCCCCAATACTGCTTTGAATCCAGAAGCTATTCGTGTAGACCGCGGTAGCGGTGTAAAAAGCATAATGCCCTTTTTTTCCAGATGTTTCCGTTATGCCGGTTGGTTTAGTTCACCTTAGCAGACGAGTCCAATATCTGCCTAGAAGAATTTCTTTTCTACTGACACTTTCACTACCTTCCTTACTTTGACTCCATTTAAGACATTTTGTCTCGTTGACTTCAGGTTACCTCCGTCTGGGCTGCATCGCTCGAGATCGAGGGCAGCTGAGGGACGCCTCAATCTGGTTCAAGGAGGTTCTTGATATAAATCCTGTGAGTTTTGATTCTGTCCAGTCTTCTTAGTTAGGCACTTTGTTAACAATTTTAATCCGCCCGCCCGCCGCGTCAACATTTTTATTTTTTTTATTTTACCCTTTTCTATACTGCCTTTCTTCTTATCTTCTATTTTCTCACCCCCACAGTTCACTTTTTCTCAGTACAAAAGTTTCTTTCTAAGAAAAGTCGTACAAACGCTCGAATCCTTGTATGTACTACCAACACGTTTTCAGTCATCCAAAGAAATTCACCAATGATCTCAAATATTATTTTACGAGGGACGTCATTGTAGCTTTTGCTCTTTGCCGACAGTGCAAGGTCTACTGTTTCCCATTTTAATTCTCATCTGACTGTGGTGACCTTTTACGGCCTTGCGGTACATCAAAGTCTTCGGAACCTTGAAGTCCTCTGTTGTCTTCTCATTGTTGGGAAACTGTATATTAGAACAGTTCGCCTGTGGAGTCAGAAGGTTGCGTGCTCAGATC